GTTCCGGTCCGGGGCTACTCATGGGGGGGGGTGCCGGGACGCAGGGGGAAGCCCGGGAGGGGTCCCGGTCGGAGCCCGTCGGTACCGTCCGCGTCGCCGCCGAGCGGCTCCGGCTTCTGCTGAGGCTCCTCCGCCGCCATCATCCGCCGCAGCCCCGCCCCGCGCAGCGCTTCCGGGTCACCGGCCGCCGCCAGCAACACTTCCGGGTCAACCGCCGCCCCGCCGGAAGCGCGCCCAGCCTTTTGCAACCGGCTCCTCCCTTCCCGGGGTCTGGCCCGCCCCTAGCAACCGGCCGGGCGGGCGAGAGGCCCCGCCCATAGAGACAGCCCGGGCGAGGAACAGCACCGCCCCTAGCGACAGGCCCCGCCCATACAAACAACCCGGGGGCGGCACAGCACCACCCCTAGCGACAGGCCCCGCCCATAGAAACAGCCCGGGAGCAGAACAGCACCGCCCCTAGCGACAGGCCCCGCCCCTAGCGACAGGCCCCGCCCATAACAACAACGCGGGGGCGGCACAGCCCCACCCCTAGCGACAGGCCCCGCCCATGGAGACGAGTTCCCCTCCCACTCCGGAGAGGGGCGGGGCTAGAGGCGCTGGGTCAGGGTCAGCACAGGGGTCGGGGTCAGCCGGAGGGGTCGGGGTCAGCATTGGGGTTGGGGTTCCCTGTGAGCCCATGCAAAGCCCAGCCCAAGCCCCAGGGCGCTCTGGAAGGCAGCAGGGCCCCTTGTGGGCTCAATTCTTTCTTGTCCACTGGTACTCTCTTAATTTTAAAGTTTTCTTTATGTCCAAATCCTCACTCTGCACAGTACCTTGTACCACTTCATCGATCTCTCTTGTTCTGTTGGAGCCCCCTTCTTTCTTTGCTACGCAGCGCTCCTTTACCTTTCTCTCTGCCATCAAGGGCATCCATGTGTGGTTCCTCTCTCACTCAGTCTTCTCTAGTTTGCCTAGATGCCCTCCTGAGACTCCAAGGCCCTTGCTGTGTCTCCAAGCCTTCTTTTCTTACCCTGCCCCTCATAATTCCTCCACTCTCTATAGCAATGTCCTTTCTTGTACTCCACAGCACTCTTGTAGCACTTTAGCTCCCTTTCCGTTCCATTTTTTTGTGCTCTTCAGAGCACTCTTTTGTTACTCTTTGCCATTTAGGGTGCCTTCATTCAGCCCCGGGCCCCTGACAACACCTGTCCTTTGTTGAAATCCCCTTCAGAGTTCATAATTTGTTATCTCCGAGGCTTCCTTGGTCTCTCAGGGCCCCTCGGGACTCCTCTGCTCCCTTTGCCGAGCTCTTGTGAAAAATCCTCTATGCCCTAGAGCCCCATTTTTAGCTCGGGAGATCACGCTGCACCCCTCTTTTGCCCTCAGAACCCTTCCTGAGTCCGCATCTGTTACCCCGCTCTGAACCTGTTACCCACGCGCATCCATTCGGTCCCTGACCCCCTGAGGACATCTGTTCCTTGTTCAATTCCCTTTTGAGCTCCTTGCACCCCCAGGACTTCCTTGGTCTCTCTGGCCCCTTTGGGACTGCTCTAATCCCTGTGACGATGCCTCTTGCTCTGTCGGAGCCTTTTCCAAAGCTGACTTTGTGCTCCAGAGCAGTCTTTCTGTTTTCCATCTTATAGTATGTTTCCATTTGGTATCCGGTACCCCAAAGATGTCTATTATCAGCTCAGATCTCCTCTTGAGTTTTTCAGAGAAGGCGATAGCCTTCATCTGTTTTTATTGATACATCTCCTGTGGTGTTTTTTGTTGTGTTTTGCAATTTATTGTTGTTCTAGCTACTTAGGTGCTAAATTAGGCTGCTTCATACAGTTTCTGACACATTTCTTGTATTTCCATGTTTTTTTGGTGTTTTCTGTCCTTTGGGACTCATCTAGTTCTCTTAAGGGAGTCAGTCAGAGACACAGTCAAGGTGACCCTGAATTGTCGGCGATTTACCATGAATAATTTACTTTGCAACCGCAGATATTTTTGAGAAGGGATTCTTGTGGGATCTAATTCTGCTTTGTCATTCAGTCCTACAGAGAAGGTAGTTCTGGTAGAAGCTGGGTGGTATGCACGGTCTTGCTAGAAATGAAGCGTAACCCCATAACGTTTTGGCTTTTGTGTAGGAAACTAAAGCACATCAATAGTGATAACAATATTGTTATTGCATTTAATGAGCTACTTTCTTACACAGCTTAGTGTCGTGGTTTAAGCCCAGCTGGCAACAAAGCACCACAAAGCTGCTCGCTCCGTCCTCCCTTCCCTGGCCTCGGTGGGATGATGAGGAGAAAATGTAAAGGCAGGCTCGTGGGTCAAGACAAGGACAGGGAGGGATCGCTCCCCACTTACGGTCACGGGCAGAAGACAGGCTCAGCTTGGGGAAAAAACAAAATCAATTTCACTTACTACCAATCAAATCAAACCAAGGCTATTAGGAAGTGAACCCCAACCCAAGAAGAGCTTCCCCCCCGCCTTCCCTCCTCAGCCCCACTCCCGGTTCCCTCTCCTGAGGGGAGC